CGCAAATTTTTATTATTAACATGGTAATTTATTTATCAAATCATGAAATATCATCTTTTATCTTCAATTTGTGATATAAATCGTTTCTTAATTCCCAAAAATAAAACTAAAACGATTTTTTTTAATTTTGACGTTTTCTAACATAACCTAATTCAACTTAACTCCTATTAAACAATTTTTCTCCGCAAATTTTTATTATTAACATGGTAATTTATTTATCAAATCATGAAATATCATCTTTTATCTTCAATTTGTGATATAAATCGTTTCTTAATTCCCAAAAATAAAACTAAAACGATTTTTTTTAATTTTGACGTTTTCTAACATAACCTAATTCAACTTAACTCCTATTAAACAATTTTTCTCGGCAAATTTTTATTATTAACATGGTAATTTGTTTATCAAATCATGAAATATCATCTTTTATCTTCAATTTGTGATATAAATCGTTTCTTAATTCCCAAAAATAAAGCTAAATCGATTTTTTTTTTAATTTTGACGTTTTCGAACATAACCTAATTCAACTCAACACCTTTTAAACAAATTTTCTCCGCAAATTTTTATTATTAACATGGTAATTTATTTATCAAATCATGAAATATCATCTTTTATCTTCAATTTGTGATATAAATCGTTTCTTAATTCCCAAAAATAGAACTATCGTTTTTTTTTAATTTTGTCGGTTTCGAAGATAACCTAATTCAACTCAACTCCTATTAAACAATTTTTCTCGGCAAATTTTTATTATTAACATGGTAATTTATTGATCAAATCATGAAATATCATATTTTATCTTCAATTTGTGATATAAATCTTTCTTATCTTCCAAAAATTAACCTAAAACTACTTTTTTTTTAATTTTGACGTTTTCGAACATAACCTAATTCAACTCAACACCTTTTAAACAATTTTTCTCGGCAAATTTTTATTATTAACATGGTAATTTATTGATCAAATTATGCAATATCATATTTTATCTTCAATTTGTGATATAAATCGTTTCTTAACTCTCAAAAATAAAGCTAAAACGATTTTTTTTAATTTTGTCGTTTTCGAACATAACCTAATTCAACTCAACACCTTTTAAACAATTTTTCTCGGCAAATTTTTATTATTAACATGGCAATTTATGTATCAAATCATGAAATATCATCTTTTATCTTCAATTTGTGATATAAATCGTTTCTTAACTCTCAAAAATAAAGCTAAAACGATTTTTTTAAATTTTAACGTTTTCGAACATAACCTAATTCAACTCAACTCCTTTTAAACAATTTTTCTCGGTAAATTTTTATTATTAACATGGTAATTTATGTATTAGATCATGAAATATCATATTTTATCTTCAATTTGTGATATAAATCGTTTCTTAACTCTCAAAAAAAAAGCTAAGACGTTTTCGTACATAACCTAACCCAACTAATTTTTTTTTTAAATATTTTTTAATAAATTTTTATTATTAACTCAACGATACTTATATCATATCTTAGTCATCAATAATCTCACACGGAAATTAGACTTGCGGTTAATTAGCAAGAAAATCTTGTTGAAAACACTTGTTGATGTACTATCGAAAGTCCCAGTAGTCGAACACCAACAACTGTAATTCGACGATGATATCGTCGACCCTATAAGATAAGGTTCCCCACTTTAGCTAAAGAGCCATTAAAAACAGATTACGTGGCCCCTACTTGAGTTTAATAGCGAACTTTAAGAGAAAGAGCTTTAACACAAACTTTACTACAATATATAATTACCGTTTGCTATATAACACCTAATGAATTTTTAAAGTTTAATTTAGTGCATTTTAAAAACTTTTCGCAGGTTTGTTTTGTGCCTTAACTCAATGCGACTTGGAACCGTGCGTTTTTGGAACTTGCGAATTAACCGAAACGAACTTTAAGTGTCGTTGTAAGAGTGGATATTTGGGCGCGACGTGCGAACAAAAACGAAAACCTTGTCAAGATAATCCGTGCGAGAGTCGCGGGATTTGCACGGAACGAGGAAATTCGTTTCATTGTCAGTGTCACGCGTGGTGGGAAGGAACAAGATGCGAAAGAAGAATGATGCATATTCCTTACAAACCGTTAAGCGAACGAATGCTTCACGAACCGTTTTGGCTTGGTTTAATGACCGTTACTGTGGTTATGGGGGTTATAGGGCTCGTTTGGTGTGCCAAAAGACATTTTCCAGAAAAGATTGAAAAATTGTTAGCTGAAGAAGATGATCGATCGAGAAGTGGAGGTATAAATTTGTTTAAAAAATTGTTATTTTTTTTATATAAATATTTCTTTTAGTGTCTAGTTTGAGAAGTTCTTCGGTGAGGGAACAATTAGCGGCGGCTTCCGCTGCGGCTTCAGCAGCTGGAGTTGCAACGTCTGGGTCATTAACCAATCCGGGAACGGGGGTTCCTCGATCGCTCTTCGGACGTCTCGGTATCCGAAAGCCATCAATCCTCAGCCTAACCAGCCCACACGCAGGCGGATATTCACCAGCAACCGCTCGTACCTTTAGTTTGGATGATTTGCTAAAACCCGCTCCGAGACGTAAGGCAATGTGTGCCAAATCTGATAACCTTCTTCGTGATAATAACCTTTCTATGTCTCTTTTCTTCTTTACTCTCTGTCTCTTTATATCTATGCAACTCGAGCACTCTTTCATTTTTACAGCAAACCTTCACTCTTTACAGTGTCCGACAAAAAATCAGCAATTACCTCTTCTTTTTGGTTCTATTACATCTACGCCTTTAAAGTTTTGTTTGTTTGATATTCAAATTGTTGATACCTAGAACTTTTTGTTTTCGTTATTTTCATTTTTAGTAACACATAATTTTCAAAAAATTATATCAACTGTATTTTTAAGTCTCATGATTCTAGTTTATGCAGTTTTTATCACAGTTGTCAACAAAAACCTTGGGATATATTGTACACGATCCAGTCTTTCAAAGATCTATGGTGTGGTATGGTTAGAATCTTTATCCTGTTTATAGATAAAAGCTCGCAAATATCCCAATTTTTCTGCACATTGCTCAATTATAATATACACCTTCGCAGTCAATATTCCATCCATGAAATGAAGATTTCTAAATCTTGCCTCTAAAAAACATCCCCAATTTCATCACCAAGCTTTCACCACGTTTGAACCACTTATTCCTTTACTCTTCTAAGGGCTGATCTTACAAAACAGTTTATACCGCTCCGTATACCAAGAATAACTAAAAGTTGGTATAAACACTAGAATAAACGTCTTACAATACCGGCGTATAGCATAAGTAATGATATACGGCGCAGGATAGCTGTACTGTGCAATTCAGCGCGAATAGCTTATACTAGGAATAAGTTAAGGACTGTTTAGCATTGATTATAATTAATCAGACGTAATAATTATTGTATGAAATGGCTTCAACAAATAATGGCCTTGTCTAAAAGACAAGCACATATTAATTTTTAATATAGCATCAGCAATAACTTGCACGAAAAAAATCCTTTGCGATTACGATGTAATTCCGCATTTCCGCCACCTGGGGACTGAATGCGCACATGGGTACAGTCAATAGCACCTATGAAATACGGGACTTTTGCTATGCGATAAAATTGCAACTTAACACTATCCAGTTCTTGAGAGCCTTTTTTGAGGCTCAATTTTGAGGCATAAAAATATATTGTAGCCTTAACGATGCGATTGCCAACGTCACAGCCTTTACGATCTGTCCAGCAATGTTTTGCTGATGCCAACAAAATCTGCTATTGTAAGGAGCATAGAACCAGAAGCATAAAATCGTAACGTCAGCATCATTTCACTGGTAATCGGTTTCTGGTTTCTATTAGTCCTGGGTGAGATTCGCCCTCTAATTTGATCAAGAATTACGTGGATTGCATTTTTGATTAAACCGCATCTTAAACTGGTCTTCTGATAAGGTTTCCAAATAATTTACCCTGAGAAGAAGTACATAAATACATACAGGGTGGGCAAATTTGGGTGTTATTATAGGCTATCTCAGAAACTATAAGAGATACAAAAAAAGTAGGTGCCATATCCCGGTCTCTTTTTCCGAGACTAATCCAATCCCGTAAAGACCAAATCTCTATCTTCTTTTGTTTTTAAGTTATAGCCAAAAAGTCAAATTTTAGTGATTTCAAAAAATGCTCATATTTCGTTTATTTTTGAAATTAGAGAAATGGGGTTAATGCATTCTTAAGACACTTTTTTGAGTAGAATATACTGCCGTTGAAAAATTTTTAACATAGCTGATAATTTTTGAGATATAACATAAAGTTGTATTTTTTTAAATACAAACTATACTTTATTATGATGTTACTGAAAAGAGCATATTTTTAGCTTTCCAATGATGTATCGCACGCATGATGTTTCTGCGGAAAATAAGCGTTATTTTTCAATTTTTAAAATATTAAAGATTAAAATTCAAATTTTTAATTATAGTAGGCGAGGAAAACGCTAAATACTACTTAGTTACTATAGCAACGTGAGTTTACTTGTCATTTCATTCATGAATTTT